TTGCATTACTGGAGTGGCATATTCTCGCCTCTCTTGGATTTGTGATGGATGTTAGCACCAAAAAAATCACATAGTAAGAAAAACTCAATTTTTTTTATTGCAGTAAAAAAACCCACATACCCTCTTAAATTTTTGTCTCCAGTACAATATTCTCAATTGTAAGCACAATGTTGTACAGCTGATCTCTATAGCTTTTTCATCTTGCGTAACTCAAACTTGATACCTACTGAATGGCAACTCCTCCTGTCTCCCTCCTACCAGCCGCTGGCATCCACTTTTCTACTTTCTGTTCCTATGGATTTGACTACTTTAGATACCTCATATAAGTAGAATCCAAGACCATTTCACTATAGAACACTTTGGAACACTCGGAGCACGTATACGTAATGGTCATATGTAAGAATATTTTATTTATTGAGAGAAGCTGAATTCCGACCAGATCTGCCATCAATGGTTGAATAGTTGGGTATAGCATAGTGATGATTACCAAGCTTGCCTTAACACAAAAAAGTAAATATTTGTGAGATTTGAAAGTAAAATTTAAAATAGACATTTTGAAATTACGGGTATCATATTATGGAGAAAAGGAAAACAGCTTTTACAATCAGATGGAAGTAAATTTGATTCCCTTCTTTGCTTCTTATATGACTTGCATTAGTCAACTCAAGTAATATATTGAATCTTTTTAAGCTTCACGTTCTTTCTCTGAAAAATGTCTTTTGTAATATCACTGTAATAGAATTTCAATAACAATTTAAAATAACATTGTGCCTTGTAAAAAGTAAACACTCAATAAATCAATAAATTGTAGCTCTTTTGTGATTATCAATACCAACTAATGAAATATGAGGTTGGTGAATTCCACAAACAATGTGTTTTTATTGCTATGTGGGCTTTGCCTGGGCTGGGTCCTCAGTAAATGATATAAAGTAATATAAAAACTCTAGTCTGTGATTAAAATCATGTTTTGACATGCTTTATGAGCTCTTTTTATATAGATTTTTGATAATATACTTTCAAAATTATTGGCAGATCTACTCTTTGTCTGTACTTCAAGCTGGATAATGGAAAATGATTTATACAGTTTTATTGAATTTGCAAGGGTTAGAGTAAGCCATGTTAATTATTGCTATGTCATTCTTGCAGGCTAGCAGGAACTGAGACAAAACATAAGCCAAACTAAATATAATTAGCATTAAAATGACTCAAGCATGAAAAATAATCGAATGGGTCCTGGAGAGTCTTACTCTTGTCAACAAAAGAAGATCATGCTTGTTTGCAAACATTCACTTTAATTGCTTTTTCCCCATTTTCTGAAATATGAGGTGTTTTAGATCCCTATCTTACTTCTCAAATAATGTTTTTGTTATTGACATTACAACCTACACTGTCATAAATAATTAATCTGACTTTTAAAACTAGCTGATGAAAGCTCAAGAATCTTACAGGATGAATACCAGGTGCTCATCTCCCTAAAAAGTAATCATTTTTTTCTTTCCAAATGTATATTGTTCAATGTCAATAAGTTTTCTGGGCACTTCATTCCCTTTAGAGTATAAATTCTTTCTTCTAAGCTTAGTGAATTTGGGTTGAATTCAAGGAACAAATTTACCCAAGAAAGAGGTATTTTTACATGGGGATTCTATCTAATTCCTGCTCAGTAGCCCTTGAGTGAGCAGTAGTAAATATTTACCACTGACCCATAACTGTCAGAAGAGAGTCCAAAAAAACAGAAGATGGACCCAAAGAAGAAATTCTCGAACAAAGAGAGTAGAAGGAAACTGAAAGTTTTGTAAGCAACACTATAGGGAAGGTACTGCAATCATGAAGCACTTGGGGTAGAGTAGATAATGATAGACGTAGATTAGGGTTTCACTTTGATGGACAAGGCATCTGCTCACATGGTATGAGCTGAGAGTTGCCAATGAGGGAAAGCGAAGACTGTACTCCCTGGATATCTCCTGGAATTCAGCTCTTCCAATTCCAATTATACGAGGACAACTCTCTCAATGGGTTTCTGTAAGTGAGAACAAGAGTCAGAGTAAAAGAGCTACACAGACAGGAAGGATTCCTGGAATCACAGGCTGATTCCAGAAATTGTAGGCTTCCTTCTAGTCTGATCAGGGCTGATGTTCAGCACGTACATACTCTTTTGGAGCATTAGCTGTCAATTTGTTGAAACACTTCTATACTGTTTGACAAAAAGCTGATGCCCGAGTTACCCACGTGTCCCCTTTATATCCCTAGTCAGCTTCATCCCTGGGTATTTCTGAATTCCTGAAATCAGGCAAATGAAGCAGTGATGCCTGGTACAGCAGGACTGTCTAGGATACACCAGCATTATGGCTAGTGTAACTTCTGACATGTAGGTACCTGTGCCAAACCAGTTATCAAATATTTTGGCTATCACCCTTGGGGAAGTATATTAGTTCTGGACTTTTGAAAGAAAAGGGGCTTCAACAATATAAAAGCCTGAAATGGACTCTGAGATGTGAGAATGGAACCAAAAGGGCCCAAAGCAGAATTTTATCTATTTTAGAATTTATCTGAGGTCCATTAAAATGAATGTGGCAATATCATTAAAATTAAGTTAAATTGGAAGCATTTCTCTATACATGATCTTAAATTATAATTACACTAAGGAGAAAACACATTTGTTCCATCGGAGCCATTTACAAATACAACATGAATCATTATTTTCTTTCTTCCTTTCTTTTTCTTTTTTACTCAAGTATTGTATTTCCAGTCAGTTTTAAAATCAGTATTCCCCAACTCATCTCCTGTCACTTCCTGATTTACAAAGCAAAAATATAGGGCTCTAGCTATATTTGAACTTGATGGGCTTTTTCATGACAAGATGCCTTGGCACATGCTGCCTCTTCTTCCTGGAATATCTGTCACCTTTTATTACATCAATGACCCTTTCAGTCTTCAAAGTTCATATCAAATGACATCTCCAATGCATATTCTCTGCATGTGTGATGTTTCACCAAAGGTAAGCATCTACAAACATACGCCAAATGAATTATTTTAGACAAACTTTTTTGTAACTTTTATAAACTTTAAAGAAGAGAAGAGAAATGTGTCTGCTTTTATAATATACTTGTCACATTCCATTAAAAGTATATTTTTTCTAGGGGCCTGCCTGGTGGCGCAGCAGTTAAGTGCGCATGCTCCGCTTCAGTGGTCCGGGGTTCGAAGGTTCGGATCCCAGGTGCGCACTGACGCACCACTTGTTAAGCCATGCTGTGGCAGTGTCCCATATAAAATAGAGGAAGATGGGCACGCATGTTAACCCAGGACCAATCTTCCTCGAGAAAAAAGGGGAGGATTGACATCGGATGTTAGCTCAGGGCTAGTCCTCTTCACAAAAAAATAAATAAATAGATAAATAAATAAAAAGAAGTATGTTGCTTCTAAAGTATTTTAAAAGAAGATAATTATCTGAGTGAGAAATTAGACTGTCCTACCTTATTATTGTAAACAGTGAGTTTTAACTGATTCGGGAATGAAAAATCCTTTTTCTTCCTGGTTATTTCTTTTCTTTTTCATATGTAATTGTCTAACTTTCTAGATCTCTATTTACACTCCTGGATAATGTTGTATGAATAAATATGCAAATTCTAATTCTATGACTTGAATTAATCACTTCTCAAGTAAAATACAGATATCCTTCTGGAGAATGCCATTAAGTTAATTATAATGCATTTCATGATTGTATAGGCCTTGTTTCCCTTTGTAATATAAAATGTTAATTAATAGACATACAACATAGTAATTTTGTTGTCATAAGGTCTCCTTTTACTTTCTTCAAATGGTTTAAACTAGCACTTAAATTTTATGTAGTATACTTTTATTAAAAAGTAGAGGGACATATTAAAATATAGTGAGGTTAATGTGGAATGATAAAACTAACCGAGTTTTAGGTATTTTCTCATATAACAAGGATTTTTGATCTTGTATTTTTCATCTTGTTTCACATACTTATTTATATACAAAGTACCATCATTTTATGTGAGATAAAATATGATCTATTCTCTTAGGCAACTTTCATCTAGCAAGGAAGTTAACCCACAGATACAAAGTTGGTTAAGTATGTAAAATAATAATACACAGCAAATTCTAAGTCGCAGGCACTGTTCCAAATGCCTTGGATAACCATATGGCTTGGTGGGTGCTAGCAACAACCTATGAGGTAGGTGCCATTAATATCCTAATTTTACAGATGAGAAAACTCAGGCACAGAGATAAGAATTGATTTGTCCAAGATTGCATGATAGTAAGTGATTGATATGGGATTCAAAGCCAAGCAGTGTGGAGCCAGAATCTGACCAGCTAACCTCTAGGCTGCACATCTGTATCAGACACGAAAGGAGGAGGACCCCTTCCATCAGAAATGATGATTGCAAGAGAAGTTTCCAGATGGCAAGAGAAATTAGAACAGCGATTTGAAGACTGAAAAAATTTGGATTGACAGAGATTGCAAATGTGTGGCAGAGAGGAAAAAGGGAGGTAGCCATAAGGAAAGGAGTTACAAGAACATAGAGATAAAGTTAGGCAATACAACATATATTCAAGGGATCATAAACAAGGCAGTTAGACTGGAAAGGAGTTTTTATTTAGAATTGTGAGAAAGATGAATATGTTTGCAGTGTTTTGCTAGATATTATTATTTGGCACATTATGTCATTACTTCTACTAAAATACAATTCATCCTTAAACTCAGTTTTTACATAAATTGATTTTGATATTGACAGTTGTGTATTTTTTTATGTATCTTAAATGTCAACCTTTTATTATTCTTGTGATATTTTTTCTCATTGACACCACCCATGACACTAAGATATCATCATGTCAGGAATCTCCTTGCTGCTCAAAGAGGAAATTTTTTTTAATGAATGTATATCATTTGGACACTAATAAAAACTTCCAGGTAAACTTTTTCTAGATAAGAATGCCAAGTCAAAAAGCAGCCATTCATACCACTGTTTTCTTTTCAGGTAAACCAGTGATGATAGTGACAGAGTATATGGAAAATGGCTCTTTAGATACATTTTTAAAGGTAAGATTTGAGACAAATTTAACTATTCAAAGTGTTATTTATATATTGACCACGATGTTGAAGTTGAAATTGAGCTACTTTAAAGCTAAAGCTTTAAATAGATAGAAATATCTGGAGTCAGGATAATTATACTCCAAAAATTAACTTTGGTTTGAAAATTGTCCATTTTAAAAAACTTATACAAATCCAAATCATATGCCTTTACAGTTTTATTTAAGTACATGTTAATTTGCCCAAAAAAATAAAAGAAAGAGGGAAGGAAGGAAGGAAAAAGGAAGAAAAGAAAGAAAAAAAGAAGGAAAGAAAAGGAAAAAAAGAGAAGCTTTTACAAGTACTTAACTTTCTCAAAGTACATAATATCAGACAGAGAAAGGAAAAATGTCTAAAAGGTCCATGCAAATCATCTATATTAATGAAGGGGTCAAAGAGCATATAACACATCTGAGGGCCAGCCGCTAGTACTTGTGCTGGCAGAATCGTCATGTGGCGATAGACAATAACCAGTGTTGTCAGATCTTCCTGGTTTCAGGGAAAGATTTTTTTTTTTAATGTGTAAGTCTCCAGATTTTAAATGTTGGCATTTCATTTTATTAGCAAATAGCTTGTACTAGACAATGTAACATATTTGCAGTCCTGATTAAACCTGTAGGCTGGTGGTTTTTTACCTTTAATGTAACGAGTATTTTCACCTTTAATATGCTATTGATTAGGAAAGGTGATGGGACAATGGCATTGATGATGATCCTAGGAGGGGCCTGTGCATTGAATATGACAGCGGTCCACCGACAAGGCAAACTTCCCTTCCAATTTACAGCCTCTACCAGATTCCTTTGCCAGATTTCTTATACATATCTTCAAGTTCTCCAGTCTCTTAAGATCACATCATTCTTTTATTTTAAAATAAGCATCTGTTGAGCCTTATTCTGTCTGTCTACAGTAAGTTCAGTGCCCTTGACAAAGACAGCCATCTTCCAAGAAGTGCTAACATTGTCCCGGTCATTGCTCAGTCATCGCCCTCCTGCCTGCTACTGCAGAATCTCCCTTTATCTCCTTTGGACACTTCTTTACTCCAATATGCCTGTCAGCTCACTTCTTTTAAAGCACCTCCAAAATGTGCAGTGTTAACCCAGGCAGGCATTAGATTGGAAGGATGAACACATTCCTCTGATGACTGAGAATAAAGGAATTAAGATGCACAAAAGGGCAACTAAATGAGATTTTTGACAAGAGCTTTCAAAGCCTTTCTCTGCTTTGACCAAGCAGAGGGCTGATCAACATTACCAAGTTAACTATACATGCCTAACTTTTTCCATTCTCCTTCAGGTAAAAATGGCATATGAATTTGGTGACAGTATTAATTTGAGGATTGAAGGAAGATCTTTTTATGTTTTCCCCCAGAGATTGGTGTTGTTGGACTAATATTTCTACATCGTCTTTACAGAAAAACGATGGGCAATTTACTGTGATTCAGCTTGTTGGCATGCTGAGAGGCATCGCTGCAGGAATGAAGTACCTTTCCGACATGGGCTACGTGCACAGAGACCTTGCTGCCAGAAACATCTTAATCAACAGTAACCTTGTGTGCAAAGTGTCTGACTTTGGACTTTCCAGAGTACTGGAAGATGATCCTGAGGCAGCCTACACCACAAGGGTAAGATCTAATAGAATGTACTTCTAAAACACTAGAGGCATTTAATTTTTAAAGATTTTAAAGGAAATGGCAAAAAGGACATTCCTCCAACATAGGAAGAGAAAGAAGGGGGAGAGATAAAAAAATCCAAATAATTCTCCTTGTTAGATATCAGCAAATTTAAATATTAAACTCAGATAAGCAATGTATTTGCCTTATGAGTCTCAATAATTCATTTTTTTCTTACAGACACTGAAAATAAAACGTTTGAGCTCAGAGTGAATACAACGATGTAAAAATCATGTAGTTTTAAATGTAAAAGAAACAGTTAAAGAATTTCCTACATTGAAAGCAATATATATATTATGTATATCTGTGAATATATAAATATGTCTAGCATTATTGGGTAGCTTAAACTCTGAACTATAGTGTCTTCACATACAACAAATACAGAAATATCTAAACTTATCTTTTAAGGATTCACATGGTAGGGAATAAAAGAACTGTTCCTTCAAAAATTTTTGATTTACTGGAGGTATTTTAATGCCTAATTACTTTTCTTATGTACTATGTAATCTGTTTAGTCCACATCTATGGAAAATTGGTCACTAACTCATATTCTCATAATTAGCATAAATCAACACCCTTTTCCAGCAAAGTAATTGCTTCCTGAATTGATGTGGTATATAACTGACAATTCTTTCTGTGGAAAACTGTGGATATTGGTATAACAGAATTTTCTGGGCAGTCTAGGTATTGCACTGACTGAGCTTGAATCTCTTATGATAAACTATATTTGTTTAATTCTACATCTTTTCAATGTCAAGAAAACATGACGTTGGCTATCTTCAGTGTTTAAACTCCTCGTGAACATAGGAATTCATCATTGTGATGCATTCACTTTTTCACTATGCAATTTGGCTAACTTTTGTTTCCATACAGAAGAACACTTTTGTCATCTCACATTCTTAAGATAGACGTGTTGCACATTTTCCTATTTAATTCAACTTTTTAAAATTACTTCTACTCATAGTCTAACAGTAAACTCTTTTCATAGAGTATAATAAGGCCTTTTTTTTCATTGTTGCTTTGTGACTCACGGATGTTTAGGGATTGGACTGTGCTGAAGATCAAGAGTAACTTATCTAAGCAAACAAAGCCTTCTAACGGTCAGCTTCATAAATCAATAAATTGATGTGATATCCCCCTTCTTCTAGACCTAATTATCGTTGTCATTATTTGCATTAAAATGAAACCTCAATTAAGAATTCTCCTGGGATTAGAGTTACACTTAATAAACTTGGCCTAAGCAAAAATGATGTTGTAGAAAAATCCATTCCCAGTATGAATGGCGGGTGTCTTCGTTAAATGTATGAAGTAGCTTTGTCAAGATCTGTGTCAGTGGGTCATGCTGGGGGAGGGGGAAAGGGAGAAGGAGGGAAAGCAGAGATCCTGAGACCCTCCACATTTACTTCTCTGAAATAGGGTGTGGTGGCAGTTTGTGGAAAATCTGTATACTGAGAGATGAGAAGATAAGAGAACTTCAGATAGTAGTGATGTCAAATACGATGGTCAGAGGACCAGGAGAAAAATTCTAAGCTGAAGTTAAATCAACAAACTACAATTTTAAGAGGAATAGTAATAATATATTACAGATTATCACAATGACACATAGCCAGGCCTAATGTTGTGATCTTGCCTATGAATATTTAATTAACAAAAGTGTGTTTCAGGAAAGTCTTCTTAAAGTAGTGTTACCATATATCTAAGTAGCAAATCATTCAAATTTAGTTTGAATAATTCAGATGAACTTCATCTCACAGAACAATTTCAAGCATTACATGAAACTATTATTTCCTCATATGTCTTCAAACTTTGGTTCATGAGGAGAAATTTGTCTCATTTTTTTAGCATGTGAATTAAATTATTCCCTCTCTGCAAAATGGGAAGGCATAATTTAGTCTTTTTACAAGAACGTATTCAAAACTTACACTCCTCTCTCTTTCTCACGCTCCTTTAATATATTTTTGCTTATAGATGAAATGTTTGGTTTCTGGGTTTGCCTGCTTTTAAAAATTAAGAGAAAAAAATTCACCCTGAAAGGGGCAGAATATAAAAGTGTTTATCTTGTGAACTAAGAGAAAACCTACCAAACCAATTTTTTTACCACGTAAAAAACTCCAAACTTGATAATGTTCTACGTTTTTCCCTATAAACTAATTTCAGTAATTTTTAATTTGGTTGAATTAAATGAGATACCTACATCTTAGATTTAAAAAAAAAAAACAATCTAACTGAACCAACACAAAAATCTACCAACGGACAATAAGAGAAATCAAGTCTAAATGAAATTGCACAATGTTGGGGGAAAGTATAACTAAGTTTTTAACATATCTGATTTCATGCTTGTCTTGATAACTGTTAAACTTCTCAGAGTTGCATTCAGCAACCAAGACTTTCCATTTACAATTCCTATGTTAAAGAAAAAAAACAAAAACACCCCAGGAGTTTGAGTCCTGTACTCTCTGCTAGAAAGTCATGAAAGTACACCTTATTGATTTGCTTGACTGCCTGCTTTCCCCACTTAGAGCTGCCATCCTGATACTGTAATTGAGATGTGGGTCCTGTGTGTGTTCCAGTAGTCAAACAGAATTTAAACTAGAAAGCTTCCGGACAGCCAATTAGTAGTCAGCCTACAAGTGCTTATGGGCTGAGATATGTGAAGAGACTGCATGCTGTCAGACAGATTCACTTAAAAATGCTACATCTCTTTCTAGATCTTCCCAGTGAGACAGCAACGTCCCTAGATACATTTGAAGTATGTGGGAATTTTTTTATTCTTTTTCAATTTTAGGGAGGCAAAATTCCAATCAGATGGACGGCCCCAGAAGCTATAGCTTTCCGAAAGTTTACCTCTGCCAGTGACGTCTGGAGCTATGGAATCGTGATGTGGGAGGTTGTGTCTTACGGAGAGAGACCCTACTGGGAGATGACCAATCAAGATGTAAGTATGGAGCTACTCCCCCTCAAGTCTGGAATGAAATGCTTTGCTCTCTGAGTCAGGGGACTTATAAGATTTTTCATTTCTGAAAATGACAGTTGCTTAAAAAAATAAAACACTTTGCTCACCCTCTGATCTGTTTTATTGTTGTTGAAACATCCTTTATGCAGAAGCTCAAAATGAGTTACTACAAAGGAAAGTAAGTTACTGTTATATAGAAACTCAGTCCCTTGTCAGACAGTTCTAGCTGTACTATAGTGATGTTTCACTCATTTCTTGTCAGTATCATTTTCAAAGATGAAGAAAGAGCCATCAAAGAATGAATACTGACAGGCAAGTTTTTATGATTTGCATTTGATAAAGGCAGCTAATGCTCCAAACCAAAAGGATGAATGATATTGATTTAATAGAGGATGCTCTTGGAGGATAAAAAGGAATAATCTATGTGTCTTTAAATTAAAAAATATGGGAAGAGTTGTATTGTCTGTTTAATTTGGGAAAAAAACAGATTTTTTCCCACATGTAAAAATAATTCATGCTTGGAATAACAGAATCCTAGAATTAAAGGAACCATGAAAGAATCTTCTATTCAAGTTCAGAATGTTTACTATATGATGCCTGATACACGGCTCTTTGGTCTTTGCTTTTGTAATTTTCCAAAGATACAGCCCTTTCCATTTCAGATCACATTGAAATTTGATATCCTTCCTTCAAATAAGCAATTATAAAAGCTAACATTTATTGAGCCCTTACTAGGTGCCATGCACTGTTTTAAGTGTTTTACCAACTAATAGCACATCACTTTATAAAACCAGTATATTGAAGTCTTAACTCAATATCATGCTGATTTAAAACATTTATTTTTTTCCTCCAATTATTTCTTTCATCCGTGCTCTGTAAAATCTCTCCCTCCTAGGCCTTCAGAGGTTGGTTATTAGATGGGTACTGTAGTTCTCCAGCCTCATTTTGTTGAAACAACAGTCCCATGCCAGTAATTAAGACTCACTTTCAGATATAAAAATTCAAGTCCATTCTAAATCAAAGTCAATGCTATATCCATTTCAAAGTGTTTTCCACAATTGCAGGGCCAGCCTGACCCTCGGGAACTAGATTGGGAAGGAAGAATGGTCAGATTTTTGCTCCTCCTCTTCTGCTAAAGTCTGTATTAGATTTTTCAGGTTTTTTTCTGGATGGAAAAGTAGAAAAGAAGGGGCAGGATTGTTTGTATAATGTTGGTTTGTTGTTGCCTCCTGTGGGTCAGACCCCCAAACATTAGCTCCCTAGTGAGATATATGTATGAGCTCTTTCAAAGACCCTTGATGAAGGCCTCCTCTCTGCAAAGTCCCTAGAGAGAAGGATGTACTCTGACTGACTTCCCACAGTTCTCTCACTTGTCGCCTACTCCCCACCTCAGAGTCTCTTACTGCCCCTTACACACGTCCACTTCACCAAAGGGAAACACATTCTTGTTGGATGCTCTACCAGTGTTCCCTCTTTTGGATACTATTACAGGCTGCCCCAGCCAGCCTGCTTTCTTTAAATTTCCCCAGGTGAGAAGCCAGGGTCACACTTTGGCTTTCCTAAGAAATATTGCATAGCATTCGTCTCAGAAAGCAGTAGTAAATTGGGCTGATGGATTCCTGCCTCTCAACAAGCATACAGCAAGACAGTGGTCTCCCCTTCTTGTAGTCATCTAAAATTGCTACCATTTCTTTTCTTTGTGCCTCACTCACTTGGCTTAGGCAAAGGGTGCTGATTTATGTTTCTCTAAATTTGAGGGAACATAGTATCTATTATCTTCAACTTTATGATTTTAGGGGCAGGACTATGGTAAAAGTATCGTTGAACTCTTGTTATATATTTAACAACCCGTCAGAGACATGTTATTATTATTCCTATTTTTCAGTTAAGAAACTGAACCTTAAAGAGATTAAATGACTTAAGATCACAAAAATAATAAAAGTTATACCAAAAATTGCAACCTGGTTCTCCAAAATTTTTGTACTTCACCACCACACTGTCTCCAATTGAATCAATGTCTAATTCCTCCCTCTCATTTTCAACCAGTGATCCTAGATCAGTCTTCTAATTGAATATAAAATATTCAATTCAATATATAATGATTACTCTGGATTGATCTAGTCTAGACGAAGACCAGACGTATTTGCTACTTTCTATTCTCCAGATAAATGCCAAATACTAGCTTGAGCTACAGGGCAATGCATGGTTTGGCTTCTAACTTCTCTCAAGGCTCATTTCAGTGGACAACATAAAGTTACATGGAGAAGGACATAGAAACAGGGAGTTGTGAAGGATTTGGGACAAATTTTTTCCTGATTTCAGCCATTTGAGAGTCTTGATACTCTTCCAGATAACTTTATTTCAGACTATTTCGAAAAATACAAGAGAGTGCTGATATAATATTTTTGGGAAGTTACAAAAATAAAAACTACTATCTTGGCTTTGGGTTTTCCAAGAATCTAAATGAGGTTTACAGAAAATGATTATACAATTATAGATCTTTCTAAAATGTCTGCCCCTAATAGAGTGTCCAATATATGTTTTATATTTCCTCAGCAAGTTCACGATCAGTGGCATTTAGTTTCTAGATATAGCACTAAGTTTCATATGTCTCAATTTCTATCCAAATCTGTATCCAAGAAACATGATAGATCTACTATATTTGAAGGTCGTGATCACTGAATATCTCTTTGGAAAAAAATTCTCAGAGAGCAAAGAAGAAGTACTGATTTGGCAGTTTTGAATGATATATCCCATTATCTCTACATTCCAGGTACTATCTGATTCTGAAAGGGCTTTGCCACCATGAAATTGTTACAGTACCAAGACATGCAGAATAATCTAAGTCTCTTAGAGGAGACCTTCTGCTGTGTCAGGAGGACAGAATGCTGCAGTAGGTTTCTTTTGATTTAGGTTTGCCTCTGTCATCACAGAGAAAAACCATAACAACACATAATAAAAATTAGAATGACTTGGATGATTTTAGGTAAAAACCAGACCATGAACTCTGATTGAAGTTTAGGAAACTAAGATAATATCCTATAATCAGTAAAAGCTTCTTTATCGAGAGCAAACATTTTAAATGTCAACATTTTTCAGAACTTAAAATAGAAACCAAAATAAAAAGAGATTTTATTGCATTTTTATATTTAGTGACAGTGTCTTTCTCTTGTATTTATTGAGAAGTGTATAAATACATAGATTATACTAAGCACGTGGATTACAAAATGTTTTAAAAACTCATTTAAGTAATCTGTTTTTCAATCTTCTCGTGTTAGAATTACTTTGTCCTTTTTTTTTTTTTTTTGACAGTTTTCTATTACTATTTCTGTTGGTCTAGATCTTACCTATAAGGTAGCAGGAATATTTGAATCCAAAAGAATGTCAACCCATTTTGTACTGGGTGTGCCTCTCTCCCTCTTTTTATTCTTTGTTTTAATTTCTGATGGGACAGAATGATATGATATGTTATACATATATATTATATTGCTGGAATATTTTATGGTAAAATGAAAAGAATATTTTATGGTAACATGCAGCATGTAGTAATTAACTAAAGTATGAAGAGTTTAGTTCTCATGCAAATACTGCAAATTACCAAGATTTGACAGTACGCAAATTATTCAACTTCGTAGCTTCAGTGTAATAATGTCTAAAATGAGTGTATTGGACAAACAAATATTGGTCTTCTAAGATAATATTGGTCTTCTAAGGATAATGCTGCCCTTGGATGCAAATAATTATATTAGGGACTAGTTACCTCATGGCAATTCTTACCTCTTTAGAAAAAGCGATACATGTAGAAATATCAATACTTCAGTCCAAAATTACTGTACCTTGCTATTTAGCAATGACAAAAAACAAAAATCTTGAACTGAAAGCCAGTTATCTTGGATTCTATAACTGTTAGTCAGTTACAATGATTATAAAGGGAATGGACATGAATAGAGGATTTCCAAGATCTCTTTAATCTCTGGAACTCTACTGATCTAATATTGATGTGCTAAGAAAAAGACATATCTTTAATAACTATTGGAAACAGGATAGAAATCCTAGAAAAAATGGGTATATCTGGAACTATTTCTATGGTATCTGAGATTATTTCCAGGGATATGTTCTTAAATTCTAGTCACTTATGGGGAGCTTCATATCTCACAGTAATAAAGTGACTCATATGTGAGATTTCAAGTAAATACCTGGCAATGTAGGCACTCACACACTACATAGAGCTTAATTCATCAAAACACACAGCTGATGCTCAAATTCCCCCTACAAACTTTCTGCCACTCAGTCATCCAGCCTATATTTTCACATGTCCTGTGATGAATCATGCACTATCTTTCAAAACAGCTCATTTTAATTCCAGATATTAATTTTTCTTCTGGTACAAGAAATCTGACTCCGTGTGGTAGGAGCCATACCTCTTCCAAATTATTTTCTTGGGAGGTAATTATTTCTAATTCCAATGGTGCAACTTAGCACCAGGATAGAAACATCACAGGGGGAGCCGGCCCCGTGGCTTAGCAGTTAAGTGCAGACACTCTGTACTGGCGGCCCTGGTTCGGATCCTGGGCGTGCGCCAACGCACCGCTTATCCAGCCACGCTGAGGTGGCATCCCACATACAGCAACCAGAAGGATGTGCAACTATGACATACAACTATCTACTGGGACTTTGGTGAGAAAAAGGGAAAAACAAAAAACGGAGGAGGATTGGCAATAGATGTTAGCTCAGGGCCGGTCTTCCTCAGCAAAAAGAGGCGGATTGGCATGGATATTAGCTCAGGGCTGATGTTCCTCACAAAAAAAAAAAAGGAAAGATCACAGGTTTGCTTGCCAGAGAGACATATATGTGAATCTTACCACTGCTACTTCTTAGTTGTGTAAACACAGGCATTACTTAACCTTCTGGAATCTCAAGTGTTTCATTTGTAATATGTGTAATAAAAATTCCTGTCTTGCAGATGTATGGTAAAAATGAGTGTAGATAATATACATGTAATTTGCCCCATTGTCCCTATGATATAATGTTTGGGTTAGTCTAGATTCTCCAAGAAGCCGATGCCAAGGTGGAATTAGATCCACATTAGTATCATTAAGGGGAAATGCTTGTAAAGAAAAACGTGGAGGGATGAGGGGAGGCTGGGAGAGATGTCAGATGTGATACAGGTACTTGCACTGTAATACGTATACTGCATGCTGAAGTCCAGTTCTAAGAGAAGTTGACAATGCTGCCAGGGAGTTCTCAAGCCAACGTTGCCTGTCATAGGAATAAGCCTATCTTATTATCACTGTTATACTCAATAATTGACTGGGAGTAACCTACGCAAAGCATGGCCTTGGTGTGAATGTGATGACGGATTTTAGAGGGTTTAGGGTTAGGGATTGTTGGTCAGTTACCATCCCTGAAGGTAAAGATCTGAGAGACAAATTTCCATGGTTGCCATATTCCACCCCTTTGGCGGTACAGACCTACTTCTCCAACCAGGTTCAGGGAGCATCTGTTCCATGGTTCTGCGGGCTTTTATTCCTGAGGGGGAACTCAGAAGAGGCAGGTTATGGACTGAAGTGCAGCCCCTATAGCTTCAGTTGATCTCGGGATCTTACCTGGTCCTTAGCCTCTCCCTCCTCCACTGTCCATTCTGAATTCCCTCGTCTATAGACTTGGCAGACCATGGCTTAACTGGTAGTCTGAATCAATCCTTCATTCACAGGGTAAGCATTTTTAGGCCACAGTTGTTATAAAGGAGTAACAAGAGAGCCCCAAGTGTATCATCTTAGGTCCACATGTATTTCTCCTTGTCCCAACTGTGTGAAAGCACTCAAATGCCTCCTGCTGCTCAATATCTATTACCTTTGCCATCATGGTGACCCACCGTTTCTTCTGCTTGAACTTGGGCACAAGTAGTCCAAAGTGCCCTGGTGGCGGCCATAACTGTTAGTTTGATGGAACCCTTGTTGTGCCCCCTGGCGCTGGCACGAGTCGTTGGGAATGAAGCACAATGTAGAAGTTTCTGATTTAATATGTATACAGCATCCTGACTAATGGCACCAACTCCTTTCAGAGTGTTGCCTCCAAGTTGGTGCTTCAACTGTGCCTTTAAAAGGCCTTCCAGCATTCTATGAGGCTCGTTCCTTCTGTATGGTGAGCTATGTGTAGTGGTTCCTGGAACCGGTTCATACCAGCTAGTGAATTTTCAGAACAATTCTACCTGAATGAGATTATGTTGGTAGCTTACAATTGACATGGAGGGAGTATTTATATCACATAAATAAGAAAATGTTATAAATCTGTTTCCCCCACAGAAAGAGCTAGTTGTGAAATATTTACACACTCACATCATTGAGTGTGTGACACTCTCACACAGGCTTCACTATGAAGTGAGTAACTTTGTTGGGTGGTATGCTAGGTGGGGTTCCATCTTTGTGGATCAAGCATTCCAACCACGTAATGCTGGTTGAGGCTCTGTGGGCAGCAAAAGCAAACTATACTCAGAATAGGTATATATACCTGAAAAGATGAACCCACTGACCCTTACGTGATGGAAAGGGCCCAATAGAGTCAACTTTCCGCCAAGTGAATAATGCCTATTGGGTGCTCAGTGTTGCAGTTTTAAGTATTGGAAGGAGAGACAGCATTCTTTAAATTGTGTTCAGACTATTGATTTACATGTCAATGCCAAGAAAATGCAGAGCTTATGATAATATTTCAGATATAGCACATCTGAAATGGTGCCAGGTTGTCTATAAAACTTTGGTTGTCTTTTTATTTTTTTCCCTTTTCTTTCCTTTGTTCATCTCAACCACCCAGATTAACAAATGTAATCGTAATAACAAAGTCAATTGAGATTTTGAGTCATTTGGTTATTATACATTATAAATTGTCTGGTAAAATGAACAGCCTAAATTGCACTTTGGTAGGTTTCCAGCATTTCACAAACCACTAGAATACTACTGCCTTTCATTATTCCCCAAAACTATGAAGGAAATAATAGGTAAAAATGAAAAAAAAATTATTCCAAAATGTCTAAATATAAAATCTAAAGTTCAGGTCTAAATCTGTTTTAAAGATAAATTCCAAAGATGAATTTAGAATTAAATTCAATGACGTAATTACCTGGGTCAAGTTCAAAGTTAACTTAGAGACAGGGTATATATTATAGTTCTATATATAAATTTATCTGAAAATAAAACTGATTAAGTAATATATTCTGGAAATAACTTCTCAGATCAAATAATTTATTAAATTCCTTTAAAACTAAGGAATTGGTTTAATTTATTCATTTCAGAGTCACATAAAAAGACTAGCTGCTCAATGGAGGAAAGACAATATTTAAAATAGGTGTTAACGAAGAAAATAGAACTAATTGGTAGCAACTTTGGGAAAAAGCACATTATGAAATAAATCAGGTTCTAAGTAAATAAGAATCACTGTTTTCACTGCATAGGTAAATATTTCATGATATAAACTGTATTAAGACATTTAATTTTAGTTCACGTATGTTATTAAAGAGAATAACCACTGTCTTTATCAGCAATGAGGAGTCTTATAATAAGCAAATTAATAAATAAATGAACTTCCATTAGCATATGTGTGCAAATGGTACTTTATTCTTTCACTATGCATTTATTTTATTATTAGTGAGAATAAATATTTTCTACAAATTTATTTAGCATTTTTATATTTTTCTTTTATAAATTTTTGATTAATATCTATTTCTCATTTATCTCTTGTCTTATTATTTTATTTTTCAATATGCATAAGCTTTTAATACAATAGATATGTTAACCATATGTTATAGTTTTTATAATATTTTTTACTGTGATTTGCCTTTTAATTTTTTATATGTTTTTTGAGTTGTTAACTAAGGTGGTAGGTGACTCTTAGGTATTTTGTTCACAGTTATTCAATTATTTATCTAACCATTCATTTTTAGAGTCCTTGAGTACTTTTTATTTCTCTGCCTGAACTTAACTATTGATGCTTCTCAGGAACCTTTATTTTATGCCCTTCTCAGGGAGATATAAACTACACCCCACTTCAAGCTTCGACCAAGTGCTTATGACCCTCACATTTATATTATCAGCCCAAATAGCTCTTGTGCTCTAGCCAGATTCCTGCAAATTGCATATGAGTGTTTCCCACTCACCTCAAATAAAACAAGCCCCAAATTATACCTGTCAACGTCCTCTACCCCCATATATGTGCTTGCCTAGAGTTAACAGCAGCAACATCTAGTGTGATGGGCTTGAACTTGTTTTATCTCAACTACTTTCTCTCCTACCCCCTCTACTCCTATGTCATAAACGTCCCTTAAATCTGCCATTTCATCTTCTTTCCATCTGCCACTAGTCTTGTTTAGATGCCATTTCCTTTATCATAGAGAGACTGGTTTCTTTCCAATCATTCAAAATCATCTTTGTAAACTTCCTATTATAATCATTATATTTTTTTACATGTGTCAGATCAAATCTAAGGTCTTTGTGGAAAAATGTAGCTATGTTTAATTTTTAAGGAAATATTCGTAATAGGATCTTGAGAAGTATATTCATTATTATTGGGTTTTGGTATCAATTAAATATTTGCTTTTTAATAATTGAATAAAATCTGTATTATTATATTCAGTAGCATAAATAGATCTCTTCTGGAGTTGACAGCGGCAGCAACATTACAAATGTTTTTAATAAAACAATATCACAATTAGGCTGATACTTATATGTGTGGTTACATTTAACATCAGTGATGTTTCTAATTCCGGTGCTACTATACAGTTATTCCAAATTCCTGACAGAAATCAGTAGACGATAATAAACAGCCAGACTTTGACATTATTAAATGATACATGAGACAGTTATGCTAATTTAGCCTTTGACTTATCCAACATTTACCATCCAAAAGTCTCTTTTGAAGTAAAATTGAAGTTCTATTACTTTAAAAAATGTGGTTCTGCACATAATTTTTCATTAAAAAAACATTAACTTTTCAGAGAAATCACTAGAAAATTTAATCTCTATTTGATTCCAGAATGCAAGGATAAATAAAACATGAACTGTTTATTTTTATGTCAATTAACTTTGCAAATCACCCTTCATCAAGATTTTGGGTAAAAATGATTACCGTTTATTTTCTTTATAATATATGAAGAAAGCTTATCTTTTTCTATTGTAATAGTATATTTATTTCTTTATGTTGTTTTATTTTGCAGTAAATGGAAGTAGTGGGGGATTTTAGAGATAGTGATGCTGATCATCATTGCAAGAGTAAGAATAAGAAAGGATGATAGTTGGTTAATGGGAAATTTCTGAAACTATTCTCTACTAAATTTGTTTCTTGGGAATGGTTCTGTTTTGCTCTACACAGGTGATTAAAGCAGTTGAGGAAGGCTACCGTCTGCCAAGCCCCATGGACTGCCCTGCTGCTCTTTACCAGTTAATGCTGGATTGCTGGCAGAAGGAACGGAATAGCAGGCCCAAGTTTGATGAAATCGTCAGCATGTTGGACAAGCTGATACGTAACCCAAGTAGCTTGAAGACGCTGGTTAATGCATCGAGCAGGTACAAGGCCAGACCTGAGAGATTTTCCTGAATGTAGCTAATTCAGATTGGTGCCACAAATATTAAATCAATTCAATCATTTTTGTACACATGTTAACCTGTGAATCTATATGACACTAATTTATTTGAATTAGTTTATGCATAATGTTGCTCTCTTACAATGAATGAAATAAAAATGATTAAATTATACTTAAAAGTACCTTTCCCTAATCTAATATTGTAACATGCCAGTTTCAGAAAAATCTTTACTGTAGTCAAGTCCAAGTGGCATTAAAAAAAACATTCAAATGCATGTATTTTCGTGTGTTTTGGATCCCACATAGATGTGGATGGGAGAAAATAAGATTATAAGATAATAGGGAAAAGCCAATTAAACACTGATACATTTTAAACTAGAGATGTCTAAAAATAGTTGCTTTTGATTTCTTTCAAATAGATTTTAGTGTCTGTCATAATTCATGAACATTGACAACCCCTATTGGAACCCTTTGCTCTTATCCATTTATACACAGATATTTGGCTAATCATTTACTGTGCAGTTTGAACAAGACTTAAAACTGATAAATGAGTAATTTTGTGGAAAAAAGTTTGTGTGAGAAAATGAGAATTTTTTTTTACTTTTCTGAATGCACATGAATTCATTTAAATAATGTTACATATTTGTAAAGCATGCTTTTCTCTTTAACCTGAAAAATTACAGAATTATCCTCTCAAAAAATAAATCCGTTTGATTCTGTACTAGAAAATTTACCAGATTGTTATTTTCACTATACTTAAGGCAGTCGTCTATTTTTATAAGAAAACGTGTCGTGTCAGTAACTGAATTGGCTGCCTATTAGCATGAACTAAATGAGAAACAATTTGTTGATAAAGTTGCATAAGTTCTGTGATTCTGACACAACATTTGTTTGCTAGGCAAAAAGTCATTTTTAAACACAAATAAGGAATGAATCTTCAAACTCTGTTTAGGCATCATTAACTTTCTGTGGTAGCAACTGGAGAATGCATCTTCTTAGTGATTATTCCTTATGTTGTTCCCGAAATATCTGCTTTTAAATTGTTTATTGTCATGTAAAATATTATTTCTCTCATCTATTTATTTGAATGATGTTAAGTTGTCACAAATGGACATAAAGATAGGAAATCATAAAAAAACATTTTTATGTTCTAAATTGTGTTAATTTATATCAGCATCATCATCATTGCTCGAGAGCAGTTTAAAAATCTCCAAAGAATTTTCATATTTCCTTGTGTGCAATGTATAGAATCAACTTGCTAGGTTTCATTTAAACAGATTTGGCTTAAGACTATATCACTCTCTGCCTATCTTTATTCAATCATCTACAAATCCTGATTCTAGAAGATGTTAGTTCCTAATTGGTTATCTCTTTCTCCCTATTCCTACCCACGTCACAAAACATGGTAATTTCAGTAGTCACGTAGATGATGTATGACTATCTCTCAATACCTTGAAATTTTCCCCTTCACTGATTTTAGTCTCTAATCTACTTTGGACTCTCCTTCTCATAGTCATATTCGAGACTTTTCTGTTACCAAAAATTGCAGCTCTTCATAATCTCAACTTCAAGATCTACTCTCCAACTGTTTCCTCCTGTATTTCTATCTTCAATAAATCTTTGACCCCATTGCTTAATGGCTACAAATCACTACAAGATATCCATTTATTCATCCAGCAAATACTCATGTGTCTACTCTGTGTCATGCTGTGGGCTAGGTGTTGAGTATACAGCATTGAGCAACACAATTGGGGGAGAGAGATATTGAACAAAATAAAAACATTAAAATCAACTTTGGTTTGGAGTGAAGAGTGAGAGTAGAATTTAGGAGGATAACTAGGAGGCTAGAGTAGTTGTGCAGGTAAGACATGATGATGTCTTGAGCTAAGGTGGTGACAAATGAGATAAAGAGAAGTGGTCAGATGTGTAATATATTGGAAGTAGAATGGATAGTACACACCAAGATAGATGGTGAGGGGATTGAGGACAAGGAAGGAGAGGACTGTTGTATCATATACTATAAGGGGGGCACATCAGGAGGAATTATTGGGGTGATATTCCTATGAGAAATATGGAAGCCTGAAGTAAACATATGAATATATGAGAGACTTAGGCTGGAGGTAAAAATTAGAGAAAAATAGAAGCTATTTGAAGCATGAAAATTAGTAAAATTGACTAAAATAGAGTGCAGTTATAGTGTGAGCAACGAAGATATAGGGCCAAATCCCGGATCCCTCTAAATTTTAAAGTCAGGAAAAGAAGGAGTAGCAGGCAAAAGATATTCAGGAGAAGCCAAGAAGATTCAATGTCAAGCCAAGAGAGAGAGAACAGTAATTCAAAAATGGTTGAGATAAGGTAGTATTTCAAGGGGGAGGTGGTAATGGTGGTTGTTGAATGTGTTTGAGAAGTCAGTCATCTTACAGATTGGAAAACGTTCACCTATTTGGCAAAATAGAGGTCATTACTTACCTCAACCAGAACAATTTTTATAGAATTGGTTTGGAAGAAATTACACTGGAGTGAGTTGAAGTGTAAATGGGATGTGAGAAAGTGCAGAGAATATGAGCAGAAAGAAAAGTATTTATCTTACATCTTATGGTTGAATTTACTTAAGTAAACTCCCATTGATGGACATTTAAATTGGTTTTGATGTTTCTCTCATTAGGGAAAAAGTGTACTTGTACTTTTTGCCATTTTTCCTGATTATTTCCTTAGGATACATTTCCAGAAATGATTATCATCATTATCATATCATTATTATTAACGACCAAAGAGTATGAGTTTAGTATAGTTAAGAGCATCTTATGATTTGATTTATTCTATTCAGTTTTCTTATGTATTTGAGTTACATTTTGTTTTCCAGGTTCTACTCCTCTTAGCTGAATCAACAAGTGCCCGTATGTTAGAGGATAAAATAAAGGATAAAAAACTTCTAGACTTTCTAGAAAATGAGCTTATATGAGCATGAGTTTCTCTAGCAAAGTCTAGAAGCAATTGATTACACAAATTATCTTGCATATCTATATTTCGTAGCATTATCTGTATTATTTTTACAAACAAAACAATGGTAGGAAGTAAGTGCATCTAAATCACTGTGTGGAATTTTTAGCTAATGTTCTGTATTAAGAAAATTTATTTATTAAGCCTTTATAAGTCCTCATTAACTATGGATAGAAAAAAATCTAAATAGACTGATTTTGTGTTCTGTATTTCAAAATATTATTTTCTTTCAGGTTAGCATTTGTATATTTTTCCTCTATAAACACTCAAAGACCCATTGACTATGAGCTAACATTACAATATAATTTGTTATAGAAGAGTTAAGATGTTACTTTTAATATTTATGTTTTATGTGTTTTAGAGTATCTAATTTATTGGCAGAACATGGCTCACTGGGATCTGGGGCCTACAGATCAGTAGGTGAATGGCTAGAAGCAATCAAAATGGGCCGGTATACAGAGATTTTCATGGAAAATGGATACAGTTCAATGGACGCTGTGGCTCAGGTGACCTTGGAGTGAGTAATTTTTCTGATAATTTTTACATAATTGCTGGGGCGAGAAAACTTGTTCAGAAACCAATCTGGATGAGGTCAAGGGAAATCAGTTAACCTTTGTCCATGTTTGGCAGCTTTCAAAGAAGCCTTTTCCTTTTTAGCCTGTATTGTTAACAACTGCATGGTTAATGCTACTTCTGGCCAGTATCTTTGCTTCTTTGCTTCAAACAACATTTGAATATTTGAATAATTGGAATAACAGCTTCTTCGCAAAATACTGGTATTTTGTGTTGTGGAAAAGATGTTTTCTTGACAAAGTTTTTATACTGGTACTTATGTTATACAAATGTAAATACAAGACAAAGCAACTGTAAGCACAATTGGTGTGGCTAGTCCTACATAACAACAAACATATTCTTAAGTTTTGGCTGTGATAAATACCCAGGTAACAACAGCTTACACAAAGTTTCCCAGGCAGGGATCTCATTTAATCTCTAAGTGGTGCACCTTATATTCTTGCAATCCAAGGATATAGTAGATCCTGCCTCTGATTTGTTATTTGATACAATCTCAGTGGAACCAATTGTGCCCTTTTCTGTTTGCACGTTTAAGATAAAATTTATCAAATCTTATCAAATAAAAAACACTAGAGTTAAATATTAAATTCTTTAAGGTTGTAAGTTGTTTGTATTTTATTATATACTCTGTATGTGTAATTATTTTAGCCTAATATTTGTTATTTGTGAAAATTAACCGTTGTTATGGTGGTTCCATCTAGATGACATTAACATGAATAATGTTTTAACCTGTGAATATAATGATAACTTACTTTGAATTACCTACAAATTCAAAGGTTAAAATATTGTAAGGATTAGAACGTGGTAGAACATTATAAAGCACTAAACCACAGTCCTTATTCCATTACTTCATGTGATATGAGCATTGAGCAGTTCTGTCTCACCATTTCTATTATTCTGGCATTTTCTGATTCATTGAATTCACTGCCTATCCACACAAAAGGTTACAGGGTACCATCATTTATCACCAGTTAATGTCACATTCTCAGCATTTCTTTCTTTATATCTATAACTAAAGGACCTAAAAATCACCACTCAGCTTGCTCTCTTGTTTCACTGACTCATTCTCACCATCACTACCAAATCATGTCTACTTAATGACACATATGCTTTGCCCATTATTTCTTTAGACACTCAAAGAACTCATTTATGCTATATTTAAAATAGTAAACAGAAAATTTTACTGATAATTTAAAACTATTTTTACATGATTGCTATTTAATTTTTCAGTAAAAATGGTCATTTTAATTTATTAAAGTCATTTGTCATTTTATATTAAAATGATACTGTAGGTATTTCTTCTACCCAATGTCAGATTACCTGTAAATATATAATAAAATTATTTGCATTAAACGATGTCTCTTTTCTTATTAAAATAGCACATATACTTATGTATATTTGCATCCACTACCTTTTTGCTTCTCCCTTCGCAGAATAGTTATAATCATAAATGTTTTTTTTTATTAACTACCTCTGTTTTACTTTATCTCTTTGGGGCCCTAAAATATGTTGAATATATTAGCATTATGGTTTCACTTTTTAAAATTTCTTTTAGTTCTTTTCTCTTTACTTTCTATCTGCTCCTCTATCCCCAAACTCTCTTCATTTTGTATGTTTTCTTTCAAGCCCTAACTGCTTCTTCTGTCTTCTTATGATAGTTCTCCACCTCAATTCTATTCTCCAGTAATTTTTATCTGGTCAGTTTTTCCCTACTTGGTTTAATTTCTTCTCTCTGTCTATTACTCTGGTAGCTTGCTGCCTCTTGCCTTATTGCCTCCTTTCAGATATTTTGTCTTTTAATTTATTAGTTCTGACCAGAAGAGTAAGGTGAAATTAGGAGACTTACTGAGATCTTCCTGTTCAGAGAATGTCGGTTTCCGTATGTCAATTGCTTCAGATTCCTGGGCCTTTAACAACACAATCCTTGCTAGGAACTGAGCCAGCAAACCTTAACTCCAGCAAAGCCGATTTCTTGGAGAGTCCAGTACATTTAGATATATGTCCTCTTGTTTATTGTGTTTTTGATCACATTTTCCCTATTTGGTAAAAACATATTTATCAAAATGTTATGTTAAATAACTCACAAAACTGTGAGTAATCAGTTACTTGTTTGGTCAAGAATATAAGAAAAAGATAGATTATTTGTACATTTTGCTTGCCCTTCACCAAAAAAAAGTCAGTCATTATTGAGGACTTATGGCAAAGGAACTGGGCTATCAATAAAGACAAAGACACGTTCTTAAACAGTTAGATAATGATCTTTTACACGTGCTCTTTACCCATATCTAAATATTAACTTTATGGAGCCTGTATAATCTTATAATAAAATAATAAAATGTTATCACCAGTGTCATTACCAGGGCATAATAGAAACTGAGAACTGGAAGAATACATTCATACCTGTAATAAATACTTAAAAAATTTAAATCACTTAATATAAAGCAAAAGATAAAACTGCCTTATACTTGAATTAGAAAAACATGTTATCATTTGTGCCATCAAATTTGTTGTCATGGTGAGTTTAGGAAAAAAGACAGTAAAAAATTGCAATCTTTTAAAACCACATACTTTGGTGAAAATTTCCTTCATAAAAGTTTAATTTTGTTTATGATTTTTTTTTGCCAGCACATGCATGTATGGCTGACTGTGAAAAGGAAACAAAAACTTAGAGATCTTAGAGTCAAAATGTGTTCAATGAAAGTAGCTTTCAACCGTAGACATTTTTGTCTGCTGTTCTCTATGCCTAAACCTTGCTATTCTGTGTACGGTACTCATATTAGAACAATGGTGATGGTGGTAATGGTGCAATCTGTACCATGGTGTAAGTGCAATGAGTTGTCTACAGGGGGAATTGTGAACTGGAGGTGAGTTGTAAATTGAATCCAAAGATTTCAGTTAAGGACAGTTTTATAGCTACTTTTTAAACTCCTTGTCAGACCAGTGCTGTCAACTTTTGATTATTCAGAAATTCAGCAAAATCCAATGAATTTAAATATTATACCAACTGTGTATAAGCTGAAGAGGTGCCTGTTACTATCATTTCTTAAAATGGGGGTCTTAAACTACTAAAATGAAAGTTTCCCAAATCTAGAGCCAAAATTTGTGCATACCACTTCAAATAGATTTCTTCAGTTATCAATAAAGTCATAATGCATAATTTATTATACAGCTAAAGTACACATAGGAGTACTTACTATACTCTGTGTTCTATGTAATTAAGCTAAAACTTCTAGCCTAAGGCTCACAATGTCTCATACATTGAAAATCATGACTAGGCCATGGTTAATCCTCTCTTGCCAAGTGTAAATATATTTATCTTGTACAGTAGATATATAAATGATTATCAGGATTCTTCTAAATGAACCAAAAAATTCTAACATAAAAGTACATGATCAAACTATGACAAAAAGAATGAACAATGGAATTTAGTGAATATTCATCAATGTCTCTTCTCCCTTCTCCTATCCAGCCAGTGTTAATGGGGCTAAGGACCAGTGATGTGGCTAAGACATGTGTAAAGCAGAAGGGAGACTGAGTAAGGGAATGACTCCTCCACAGATGGATGAGTTAAATACTGAATAATCAAGAGTTGCTCCAACATCAACTAGACACCTCTTGTTATTCTCTATTTTCCATTCTACCATTTTAGTATCATAATATCAGTGTTTTCCATTGTTTAATATTATGGAATAACATTTGAAAAAATGCTGGAATGTAATCACAACAATGGCAATTCGTGATATTTGCAGCTTTTCTAAAACTAATCATGCTTTGTTGACAAAATCCAAACTTTTTTATGTAACAATACTATTCTCATCATGTTTAAATTGATAAACCTATGCTGAAATATAGTTTGTCATTATTAGAATTGGCTTTGGGTATTACTTAAGATTACACGTGGTCATGATAAAATTAGTATAATATTTATAAGGGAGACACACTGAAAACTTTGCCTAGCAATAAAATTTCCTATATAGAAAGATGAAATGAGTAAAATAGCACACCTCGCATCATTTCCAAATATCACTGTAAATAGAGCAGCAACTTCATCATTAAATGTAAAATACTTTAATTTTTATCAAATTTCTCTCACATTTTATTACTGCTAAATTAACCATTTACTGTGTACTTTAAGGAATAAATGGGAATTATTAGAAATCACAGAAGTGTGAGACAAGACTACTTAAAAGAAAATAATGTATTTAACAATATTGGAATAAAGTTTTTTAACCTTTACCAGAAACACTTTTCTAATACTATTTTAATTCTCATTTGTAATATCAGAAAATATTAAATGGGATTTTTTAAGAAACTACTTTGCTGCTGAGAACAATTGTAACTTGCCTAAATGACCTTATTTCTCCCCAACTTTTTCAGTGAAAATCACATTGTATAAAGGTATATGTACATTGCATGCATTATAATCATGCTATTTTCTAAACCTATGCACATTGATTTGACAGCTTTTAAAACAACAGGTCAGATTTTAAAAAACAACAGCACTCCATTGAAGATACACCTAATTTATGGCAGTATATAAAATGTAATGCTGTGTTTTTATAACTAACTCCATTTCTCCCATAGAAAGAGGGATAGAGGGGGATGTGAGAGGGTAGAGAGAGAGGGAGAAGAGAGAGAGAATTTCCGTGGGCAGACCTTCCTTCCATATGCATCTTAGGGAATAATCAGATCGTAAGTTGACCTTGAAATAAAATTTTATGTGTAGTTCACTGGGAAAATTTTAATAAAATTAACTTAAAATCTAGATATATAAAATGTTCTGAAGAAAGATTTTATTTGCCTACCAATACAAACTCTGTAACTGTACTTATTAATCAAATGCAATTCCTCAAAATATTCATTCTTTAGCATGATATAAATATCATGAAAAATTTAAATTCCCAAAGCATTGAACCAGAGTCTTTCTTGTGACCAAGCTATTTTCAGAGAATGAAATATTTACATATATTATAACAGTAAATTAAGACAATGGAAATAAAAATGTCAAATCAGTGATTTGGTATCATTTAGACAAAACAACCAAGGTTCCATCCCTTATATAGAGCATACACACACACAGACACACACACACACACATACACAAATATGCACATGCATACATACACGCATACACCTACACTTCAAATTAAGGTATTGGTATTGTATACACAAAGTCTATGCTGTATGAGTGGGAAAATTTGTAAATTTTTTTTCAGGTCTTTCAGAATAAACTGTAATGGTTATTTTCAAAAGCTCATTCCTAATAATTGGATTAGCTGTAAGAATTGTGCAATTTAATTACATATATATATTACATCAATACTTTCAAACTTGGATTTGTCAGAATCACCTGTGGGTTTATAAAGCATATGATAAAACTTATGTTTCAAAGCTTCATTTCAACTACTAATTATTTAAATTCTCTTGCAGAGATTGATTGTTTTCAGATTGAGAAATTTTAGTCCCTTTTGTCCTTACTTAGGTCCAAAGTATGCTCGTCAGCACCCACAAATTACCCACATCTACACAATTCATCATGATTCATACGTTACACGTGGAAACATGAGAATACTAATAAGCCCTTAACTGAAACTACCATCAAGTATAGATTGGATTACCATAGCCTTAGTCAAAGAAGTATGTGTTCAGTTCCCTTCATTAAATATCTTCTTTCTTTTAGAATTTTGGATATTTGATGTTATATCTACAGAATTCTCATTTTATGGATGAATAAATCATTGTATGTAATTTGAAGTCTTTGGCTCAAAATTGTACCTCAGAGAAATGAGAAATTACAGGAGTAGGGACTTTGGTGTCATGTTCCTGGTGTTAGGCCTAGCCCTGCTACCCACTGGCTGTGTTATCTAGCTAAGTGATTTAAATTCCCTAGGGCTTTACTTCCTCGTCCATAAAAGGAGATTAACAAAACTCTATATCATAGGGATATATATTTACCTAGCATAGAGGAAGAGGACATCTTAATTGCCATCTGTTATTTCCATATTTAGTGCAAGGGTTCTCAACCAGGGGAGATTTTCCCACTCAGGGGACATTTGGCAATGTCTTGTCACAACAAAGGGCTAGGGGTGGTGCAGCACTTCTGATATTTAGAAGATAGAAGCCAGAATACTGCCAGCTATCCTACAATGCACGGGAGAGCCCCCACAACAAACAGTTATCTGGCCCATAATGTTAACAGGGGCAAGGCTGAGAAACTCTGATTTAGTTGAAAAGAGACAAGGTTCAACTCAAGCCTCTTTTATTCTTATGTTAGTCGTAACTAGCTATTTTATAGTCTATTTCATAACTAACAATAGCGATTTTGTGTTAAAGTGAATTTTTACTGGTTTTTAAGTTTTGCTGATGACTGTCTTCCGTGCCTACCATTATTATCATTGTTAAAGTGTACTCTGGCTTATTATAGCTATAATAATTTCTAAGGTTAATGTTTAATATTCACATTCTAATATAGAGATATGTGTCTACAATAAGTATCAATTGTTTCTTTTTTAGTTACGTGCCATTTGCTAAAACTCTCATAAGATATTAAGAAAACATAAAAGGAAAAAGAAACCTAGACATTATTTAAACAAACAATTATTTCCAGTACTAATACATAAAAAGCCTAAGTACCCGTTTACTTAATTTCTATCCTCTGATAACTAAGAGATTTCCTTGAGTTTTCAAAACTATTCAATTTTACATGTAATGATTCTAATGTCATTGTATCCAATTCTATAGAATTCTAAGACAATCTAAAATTAATATATTTGCTGAATGCAAAAATATTCTACTTTTAACATAATGTGTTCAATAAAGTAATTATCTAAAGAAATCTAACATGGCAAACAGTTTTGTCATTTAAAACTCTTGAATTGTTAATGCTCATTTTTTCCTGTAATTAATATTATCATTTGCCAAACATACCTGAGTCATTATATTTGCCAAATACATACTTTAGAAGAATAGAATTCCTGAATATCCTATGAAATAACGTTTAAAAACCATGATCACTGGCCCTGAGCACCATAATATGCTGTTTGTTTAGAAATCTAAACATTTGTAATTTTCTTTTGAATAAGAAGCTTGTTTAAAAGAAACAGGGTGAAAGTATCTTGATTGAAAAATCTTTCTGATAGCGTGTAATCTTCAGAATGCTCTAAATGCCAATAGAGCCTGTGTTATTTGGTAAAGGAAGAAAGCTCGGGTACTTTGGGTTTCAAGTAAAAAATAAAAGATTTGGAAATGTTCTAAGAGCGATCTAGTGATGATTATTCCCTAAAGATATCTGTTACCTACAACGATTGTACTGACTGAATCATTTGAAGAGCTTTTGTCTTCATCTGCTTAGCTGTGAGATTTTAAGAGTATATTTAATGCTGACTTCTTTGAGCAAAAAAAAAAGTGTTTGTTCATATTGTAGGTCCACATTTTCAAAACTGTTCAATGAAGTTAAATATTTATTGGTAAGCATGTGCAAATTTGTTTTTTCGCCAGTCTGTGCCACCAAACTAATGATGTCCAAGAAAGAGGGCAAATATATATCACTCCTTGTTATAAACATTTCTTTGACTGCAAGCAGATTTTCAAGGTGCAATTTTGGAGCCTGCCTTTGAAAATTGGACCCTGTCTGTCTAAATTGGGACTGTAATCTAATTAGTTTCTGCATAATGTTTGCCTCTTTGCCAGCGTGAATATTGAGGTGTGCTAGCAATTGAATCAATACATACATCCAACGTGTGCTTTCTTCATGCAGGGATTTGAGGCGGCTTGGAGTGACTCTTGTCGGTCACCAGAAGAAGATCATGAACAGCCTTCAAGAAATGAAGGTGCAGCTGGTAAATGGGATGGTGCCATTGTAACTTCATTTCAATGTCACTTCATCAAGTGAATGATTCTGCACTTTGTAAACAAGCCCTGAGATTTATTTTAACAAAAAAGGGGAAAAAGGGAAAACTCAGTGATTTCTAAACCTTAGGGAGCATTTGTTTCAGCTACAGAATTTATAATCAGTGTTTTACTAAAATCTCCTTACCCTCCTCTCAGTGTCTTCGTTTTTCATGAAGCAAATATAACCTGTATGGAGTAAGAACATGAGGTGAAACGTTATCTTATGTTACAACAAAATCCTTCCTGCTACTTCTACAAAATTTTATACGTGAAATATATAACTCTATATAGCACCTTTATAGACTGAATTAAGGCAGCCCCTTTCAAAACTTCCAAGAATCTACTTGAAAGGAAAAGTTTTATAGCCATTTGTGGGCTAACAGAAGCTGCAACTTACTGAAGTTTACTTCAAGTCTTAATTGTCTACATAAGTGTATTGAAGAGCAATATGGTTAGATAATTTCTTAATAGATATCTTCATTTGTAATTTTAAAATGCTGTTACACAGCGTTAACTTATAGAAACTAGTGTATAAACATGTTGCCTGATCGAGAACAAGTACAATGCAGGGTGTATATTTATTTTTCTGTGTCATAAAATTTACTTTTAGCTGCTCTTCTAGAAACTATTAGGTAATAAATGTGTATATACTGTATAATTTGCTATATACCCAGGAACCAGTTTAAGTTGGAGTTTTGTGTGTGTATGCATGCACATGTGTGCATTACCATTCTGCTTGCATTTTTAATAGTGTTTTAATTTTAGCAACATATAGGAACAAGTGTGCCAGAGTGTAATGTGAATAGGAGAAATAGGGAAGCAGTAAAACAAAATTGAACATGAGCTTGTTTTTTTTCCTCTCATGTGTCCAAAAGCTACTAAATCTCTTTATTCACTAACAGGAAATGTCTATAAGATTAAATCCCCTTTGGCTTTTTGAAAACACTTTGTGATATCTGTGACAATGCAGTTCTTCTAGCCATTAATCTTGCACCCCTGTGAGAAATTTCACCTTTCTGAGTCCCAGAAAATATCTTCTCAAGCAAAGTTGACACCGAAGGGCACATTTTCAGCAGGATGTAGAAGGATTTAACTGTGCAGGCTTCTGTTAATGTTGTTAAATCCAGGCACATAGCACTAAGCATTACCCCTAAGTGTTAATCCTTTGTAACCATTTCCCTTGTGGCCCAGCTCTAGAGATGTTGATACTAAGACAGCAATGGAATGGCGATAAATATATATAATTTTTTTTGCCTTCAGAATTTTCTCTGCTTCAAGACTTAAGTTTTATATGTTGATGGCTGTTTATTCCTTTGGTAATTTCGTCTTATATTCAGTTACATTGAATTGATTTTATTTTGATGAATGAATCCAAAGTATTATTTAATTGGTCTTATTAAGGATAAAGATATGTTCTATATACCACACTTGGTGAAGACTGGCTTATGAGGCACAAATTGTACCATTTATTAGAACTTGAACAAAACTGAGCCGCTTGGTGAAATAACCAAATTTTTGGTAGGATTACACTTTATAGAAATTATGGAATGACGTGATTATTCAAGGAACACAGCATTTAAACAAAATATAGCTTACTCATGATTATCAATGGCAATAGTATATTAGAGTAGCCTGGATAAATGAAATCCATAGCAAATACACCTGCATTATATTAATGATACTCTCTTTCTCAAGCACCTGTTGTAGTTGAATGTTAGCACATACAGGAATCAACTTTTGGTAAATAACTTCTTTCTACCCTGCCCACCTTTCACTTAAGCAGCAAAGTAACTCTTTGCTAAAGAACACAGGGAAAAAAACAAAAGAAACTCTAAACAATTTTCAAATGGTATATTGAATTCTGTCCAATCAGGGCTATAATTCCTTTTTAGGTCTATATTGTACCATGAGTCCACACAAACTATGCTTCAAGTATACTCTATTAATTTTGTGAAATTTCTAGAGAAAGTAGACAAATGTGGATTTTATATTGTCTTGATAAAATCACAAGTAAGAAGGCATCACCATTATTAAAGATGCATTTGTTCATTTCAAGATACATAAAATTAATTCCTTTTGTACAAAATAATTGGAGATTGTGTTGCACTTTATTCAATTTTGTAAAAATAACCCAACCTAAGTGATAAAGTAGCAATTGAAAAACTTAAAAGTAAGAATAGACTTGATTGATTTGAAAGAGAAACTAGTATAAATTTTAGAGCTGATGGACTAGCCACAATTACTTACACAGAAAACAATATTTGCCAAATTGTCTTCTAACTTTACATGTTCAAAGATGATTGAGAGGTCAGGATAGAGTATATCTGATTAGGATTTGAAGTTGCAATGTAGATTTCCTCTTTTTCACAAAAGAACATTACAAATTAATTTGAATCCAATTTATTTGCTTCTTTTGCAATCTTGGTGTTCATACTGGAAAGCAAACTGAGATGCAAGTAAAACAGACACATGGATTTCATCCATATCTCACTCTGGTTGAGAATTTCTAAGGATGTCAATATGATTTTAGAAGAAATAAAGAGACTTTCAAATAAGATGTACTCCCCCCCTAAAAAAAAGAGGAAAGAATTTCTTTCTAAAATATTTGTTCACCACTGGATATGTGACCAATTGGGAAGTGCCTCTTTCATCTATAAATGTGAGAAGTGGAACAAGGAAAAGAGGCAGTTCTTGTGAAATGCGTTGAGGCAGTAACCCACGGCAAGGTTTGACAAATCTTGATTGTGTGATTTCTTATCCTTTTGGTTCATTTTGTCACTCACTAGACAACCAAAAATAAAACATATGCTCAATAATTTTAGCACATAAGATAGATTTGTCAAATAATACATAATGTTACGGTAACTATCAGTAGCAGTACCTTTAGGGCATGAGTCTTTCTCAGTGTTGAACTTTGAAAAATAAGTACAAGCAGGGAGTAATTTTCAACTTACTTGTACCTGTTGAAGTCACTCAATTACTACTTTTATCAATCATAATTTGTTTCCTAATCTTGCCATTTGCTCACATGTAAAAATGACATATATTCAGTTGTTCTTCTTGGCTATTGAAATGTACGAATTGTATGTGAAAATGTAAAGATCTTGATTTTCCCATTTAAAAAAAATTAATGTGCATGGTCTTTTATTTCTTGTATTGTAATCACCAAGTCAGTGTTCTAAAGTTGTAGGATTACTGTAAAAATTGTATTGCAATATTCTATCTAAACTTAAATGTGGCCAGCACTAGTTTCAGAGTTGCCAAAATAGTACAGAATATCCTTAACTCAGCTTGTAAAAGAGTTTTAACCATTGAGCAATGATGAAGAGATAGTTTCACATTTCAAGCTTCAAATGAAAAATTAACGTCAGTTGAACACATGTATTTGCATGTCTGCTATTTAATCTCTATGTGAAAGTCAAAGATTTTTTTAACACCATTCTTTCTCCCATTTAAAGTGGGTTCTCAGAAGCACAAGCAGAGATATTTACCTGTGGAAGACATTTTTGGCTGTAATTGTGCATTGGATGGCAAATGCTATTTGAGTCAGATGTTAGAAGTTTGCTAGATGTATGATGCTGCCTAGTAGAATAAGATTCTTGACTCATTTTGTTCTTTCTAAAAATAAGAAAAAAGGAAGCTAAGTATGATAGGAAACTGTCTTTGCTTATGTCCTGCCAGATGTTTAACCTCAAAGTAAATAAAAAGTAGGTACAATAAGATGATGATGATGATAATGAATAAACAATCAAAATGCTAGTTTTATTTGAGATTAATAACTAGAATAAGTCATCATTTTTTCCACTCTGTAGCACAGCTGGTTACATTGAATATTTTTCTCTATTATGTTGTTAATTATATAGTAATGTATCAAAGGAGAAATAGATAAGAACTTTCTTTTCATTTCTCGTTGATTTATGAAAAAGTCTTTTTACACATAAATGATTGAATGTTCTTGTTCAAATGACCATGTAATTATTGCTTAGGAGAAGACACCAATTCTTTAAAAAAAAAAAGTCTATTTATAACAATAGGAATCAAATGTCATTTGTTTCTTTTAAATGTAAATGAAAAAAATTGAAGGTGGCACAATATGTCATATTTATTCAGGCTGGGCTATAATAACAGTCGAGGTTTTTGTGGTCAACATATTTGTGAATCCTTAGACTGCTCTAGTTTTACAATTAATTATTTAAAATTGTGTAAATTTCATTTATAATAGTCAGAATAAAACTTAGACTCAGTCATTTGTTAATATGTTTATTAAATCTCTTAGTTTCAGGCAGATCAGAAGCAGCTGTATAGTGCATCTTACTCTGTGCTAGGCCTTGGGATAGCTCAAGTCCCTGCCTCAGCTTTACTTCAAGAAAGGGTTAGCATTTCTGTACTTTTTTTTTCCCTATTTGAAGCTCTATGTGCATTTGGTTTGTGTACATGTTTTTGTAGTGTAAGATATGAAATTTTATATTTTTTCAGAAAATAAACAAACCCTTTGAATACAGTTAAATCCGATTGTCATGCTTGACCCTCCCCCAAAAGACTTTAAACTTATAGCTTTTGTATGATTTCAGTTAGTTCTAATAAAAATGTTTGAATTTCCTATGCTAAATATTTAAAATGTAATCAGCGTTCATTTTCCTCTAAGACCTATTCATGAATCTTTGCTTTCGAGTATTTTTTGCAACTAGAGTTGGACACTGAGATTGTAGGACATGAGCATAATTATGTGAAACCGAATTAGAAGTTGATTTGTGACAGTGTAATACAACATTATTTGAGAAAAACAGAAAACTGTGTGTACAGTCTGCAAAAAGAGACTCTGCTGACCAGCATTAGCTGGTCACCTTCTCATTGCCAAGCATCTGCTTACGGTATAGGGTGGAGGAGTGGCATTCTTACAAGAAGGGGTGTCGTTAAGTATGAATGCTCCCTCTTTTTCTGTATATAATGTACCATATTAGTCTACTTTTGTAAAGAGGATACCAAACAATCTGCTGTATTCAAGGAAATGAATCATATTTGTATTTTTTTGCATTTACATTCATGAAAAGTGACATCACCATGCCTAGGGAAATAATCCATAACTCCTTTGCCTATGTGTAAAATCACTATTACAAGGGATATCATTTAATATTCTAGTAGATACTCTCATGTAAAGACTCTGAGTTCTTTGTCACCATGTAGACTATTCTTGCCCTTGCTTTGCTACAGAAATAAAGATCCTATGATGAAGGGGATTTTTCCCCAATCCTCTAGGCACTCTTGACCAGGGAGGAAAGATGGGGGTAGGAGTGAAAAAGTTAACATTTAATAAGGATGCACTGTTCTATCTTAGAATTTTTCACTCTTACCTTCGAGATGCATTTTATTGTCTCCACTCTACTCATGAGGAAGCCATGACTTCAGACTCTTAAGAAATTGCCCAGGGCCTGGCTGCTCTTCAAATCCTGCCTATCTTTATGCAGGATAAAACCCACGTTTATTTGAGACTAATGAACCCACTACTGATTCCACAATGTTGACCATGCTATCTAGACAATGGATTCATTTAGGCCAGGCTTCTAATTTAATTGATGCAGGGACTGAAGGTTAGCAAGAAAAAATGATTTGCACATTTTCACAAAGCAAAGTGTGAACCTTGGGTAGGAACCAGGATCTGACTGATTACA